AACCTTGATTTTGCCATTTTACATAAGGGACACCGATTTTATTATGCCATTGTATCTAATGGAACTTGAGCATCCACGGATTTTGTTATCCACAGGGGGGTCCTGGAACTAAACCCCAGTGGGTACCAAGGGTCCACCTTACAACGCATGTGAAGGCAATGACAAAAATAATAATGATAATGATGATGATTATATCTTCATGTAAACACCGATAGGTGCCAAAATGGTAGTGACTGCTCAAGAAAGAGATCTTGGGTAAAGGGCTCTCACAACAATCTTGTGAAGTAGCTCAAGTGAGGAGGAGAGTCATGTACACTGCACAGAGGTCATTCAGTAGAATGCTATTTGAATTAAAGTCATATCAAAGTATTATAATTGTGTAGTGTGAAAGAGACGTTAGAAAGGCCTTTGACCTGATCCAGCAATGTTCCTCTAAATATATGTACCCTTCATGTTAGAGGTGCTGTTTTGAAGACATGGTAATCCTTACCTGCTGTCCACGCTGTGCTCTCTTGGTTTGCAAAATCAAATTTAAAACTTTTATTAAAAATTGTTTGTTTGTTTAAAGCATTTGGCTGTAAGGATAGCTGTGTTGGCCCTGTTTTACGGCCTCGTTGGAGGAAGAGGGGTCGTTGCAAACAGGTTTGGACAACTGCTGCCCTCTTTGGGTCTCTGTTGAAAGGGGACACAATAGCAAAAACAAGAAGAATGCCAAAAGTACTCATAATTAAATCATGGGCAGTTAGACAGATGGGGAACAACTGGGTAATATATCTAATGTGCGCATGTATAAGGTGTGTGTATGAGCGAGAGAGTGGGGTGTGTGTGTGTGAGAGAGAGAGAACATATCTGGGAATATCTGTATTAAAATGATTATGTAATTTATCTCTGGGGGTGAGAGACATAGAGATAGACAGAGACTGTATCACTTATTTTGGGTGTTTCTCTATGTGGGAGAGTTTATATCTTATCTGGGTTATGAGAGAGAGTGGCACATGCTATCACTTACAGCCTGGATCTCAAAGGAAGTTCCTTTTTCTGCTGTCAATGGAGATTAAAATTTTATTCCTTGCCTTTTGCAACTTTATGTCTCCCACAGCCCACATGGCCAAAGAGAGGAGGACCCCTGTCTACATGGATATCCCTCCAGACCATCTTAACTTGACTAAATGTAGGTCTGTGCCTTTTTCCCCCTTTCTTTTTGCTGTACGATTTTTAAAACACCTTTGCCTGATGAAGAAGCCAGTGGAGCTTTGGAAGCTTGCATCATGCATTTTGTGCATCTTTGGTTGTTCCAATAAAGGTATTGCTGTTTTGTGGATTGTGGATGCCATTGTATTTTAGTGTATGTATGTGAGTGAGTGAGAGAGAGAGAGAGAGAGAAAGAAAGAAAGAAAGAAAGAAAGAAAGAAAGAAAGAAAGAAAGAAAGAGATTGAGAGAAAGAGGCTACCTAACTTCTCTGGCATTTCAGTATGCAGAGGAATCTTGTAGCACTTTTGAGACTGCATGAAAGAGATTGTAGCATATGCTTTTGTAGACTTGGTCTGCTTCTTCATATCCATCTGTGGAAGTAGACTAAGGTCTGATCTGCACTATAGAAAATATGCAGTTTGACACATTTTGACTGCCATGGCTTAATGCTATAGACTCCAGGGATTTGTAGTTTGTGATACCAGAGCTCTCTGACAGATAATGCTAAATATCTTATAAAATGACAAATCCCAGGATTCCATAGCATTGAACCATGGTATTTAAAGCGGTGTCAAATTGCATTATTTCTGTGGTGCAGATTAGACCTAAGTCTTTGAAAGCTAACACTGCAACTTCTTTCGCACAATTAATCTGAAAGGTGCTACAAAATCTCTTCGCATGCTGATATTCTAGACTAGAACCAGCATGGTGTAGTGCTTTAACTGTAGGACCTGGACTCTAGAGATCTGGGTTTGATTCCCCACTTGGCCATGGAAGCCCACTGGGCGACCTTGGACAAGTCACACTCTCTCAGCCCCAGAATACTCCAAGACTGAATCGCCTTAGGGTTGTTGTAAGTTGGAAATGAGATGAAAGCACACAGCAACAACATTCCAGACTACCTCAGCTATGTCTCTGAATTCTTTAGCATTTGTGAGTTTTTATATAACTTCCACCGGGTGGCCTTGGGCAAGTCACACCTTTTCAGCCTCAGAGGAAGGCAACAGTCTTCCCCAGAAAACCCCATGACATCTTTGCCTTAGGGTCACCATAGGTCTGAAATGACTTGAAGGCACACAACAACAAACTAGGAATATATTCTCCATTAAAGATGCACTGTTTTGCCAGTGTCATGGACCTAGAGTTCGCAGGCTTCTCCAGGAAGGAAAAGACTATTGTGGCTTGAGTGCTGGACTATGACTCTGGAGGCCAGGTTTCAATTCCC